ATTTCCTATTATTTCAGGTACGGTGAACGCAGCGCTCCGTTCTGCGTCTCGGCGGTGGACCGTCGTGCAGACGGAGAGTTTTCGCGGCGCATCCACGAGGCGGTGGAGCGCGCGAGCCTCGACGTCCAATCAGGAAGCTCTTCGGACGAGGAGGAAGTGGGCGGAGACAACAGCATGAGCAGCAGCAGCAGCAGCGTCCAATCAGCTCCCTGCTCTGCTCCGATCCCACCGACCAGCACCGAACCCAAAACCATCCCGACGGTCAGCAACCCCAACAGCGTCTACAGGGTGGGTCCGCCTCGAAGCGCCGTCCGCGTCTAGAAATGTGGGTTTTGTCTCTCAGACTTTGTCTCGGGACTGAATGAGGTCACTAATGTCTGTGAAGCATCACCTGGTGATGATAAAAACACCATCCCAAGTCTGGATAGAAGTCTGCTGAAAAAAAAAAACCTTTTCCAAGACAGTTCAGACTTAAAAACAGCAGAAACCCAAAAAGAGTTCACAGCAGAGGTGGAGTTAATAGCAGCACTGTAACATCTGGTTCCAAACAATTCCGTTATTTTACAGAACTTCACTGTTTTGTTAAATTATTATGTATTAAAATCACAGGGAAGAAGCATTAATTTACATGTTAACCAATTAGGTACATTTTTTTTTACTGTATATTTAAATCAGTTGTTCAACAGAAAATGTATATTAAAGATTGAAAAATGGTAAAAGGCAGAAAAAAACTTTTAGAATTTCCCTGTTTTGTTAAATTACATATACTTCATTACATCACAGAAATATTAATTTATATGTAAACTGTTCATGTGCACAACAACAAAAATCACTTTTTACTGTATTTAAATCACAAGAAAATGTCATTTTACAGATATTTGCTGTCACTTGAAATAAAATTTATGTATATTAAGGATTGAAAAATGGTGAATTTTTAGACCCTTATTTTACAGATTTTCCCAGTTTTGTTGAATTACAGATAATATCTGGTAAAATCCTAGTAAAAATGTAATACATGTTAACTGAATTAAAAAAAACCAAACAAACAAAAACGGACCAAAACTACATGATGTCCAACAAACATCAAGATTTATTTTTATGGTAATTTGTCATTTTACAATGTTTAACCATAAAATTATGCAAGTTTTGATTTATTTAAATAACAAAAAAGGTTTATGGTTATTTCTTGCTTATGTGAAAGAACTATTTGGTGTAAAATGAGAAATGGCAAAAAAAAAAAACCCAGATCTTATTCTACAGATTTTTCTCCATTTTGATGAATTATATTGAATTATACAATTAAAATCACAGAAGTTAATATGGTACATTTTAAATAGCAAACAGAACAAAACAGGCTAAAATTGTACAAGTAGATATGAAAAATCTGTATTTTAATAAATGATCGTTTCTTCGTTTTTACTGTATTTACATTTTTTATTCTACAGAAATTTTCCGTTATTTAAAAGAATTTTAATAAAATGTATATTAAGGATTGAAAATGGTAAATTTTTTAACTTATTTTACAGGTTTTCTATGTTTTGTTAAATTACAGATAGTATCTTATAAACTCACAGAAAACAGAAGCATTCATTTACCCTGAGTGTGAAAATTAAATTTAAAAAAAAAACGGGAAAACTGTAAATTAAAGTTTAATTACACACAATTTTCAATGGTGGCTCAGTGGTTAGCGCCATTGCCTCGCAGCTAGAAGGTCGCCGGTTCACGTCCCGGTGAGGATCTTTCTGCGTGGAGTCCCCGTGCAGCGTGGGTTCTCTCCGGGTTCTCCGGCTTCCTCCCACAAGGTCCAAAAACATGCTGAGGTTAATTGTTGAATTGATTCTAAATTGTCCGCAGGTGTGAATGTGAGTGTGCTTGGTTGTCTGTCTCTAAGTGTAGCCCTGTGATAGACTGGTTACCTGTCCAGGTGAACCTGCCTTCACCCTGAGTCAGCTGGGATAGACTCCAGCTCCCCCACGATGGACAATTTAAATTAACATCAACTCACTGAAGTACTGTTTGCGTCGTAAAAGGTTGATCTAAATCAGCAATTTATCAGTTTTCTCTTGTATTTAATAACTGACTTGATTAAAAACCAGAGCTGTGGGGTCCAGCTGTTGTGGTACATGCAATAAATCCCTTATTTTTTGAAAGATGAATGAAAAGCTGCATAAAGGTCCAAGATGTGGTTAAATGTGACGTTTTCAGTGACTTCCTGTTTTCTCTCGTCTCCTGCAGTTCAGCGAGTTTTCTCCAGGAGCCCCTCAGACGTGGCTCAGGGACAAACGAAAGGCCTTTTCTGGGGAAGCGTTCGCGCCTCACGCTGCTCCTCCCGGACCTCCCAGCTCCTCTCAGTTCTCCAGCCAGAAAGGCTTCAAATCCTACCGGGCCACGTTCACCTTCAGCGGGCCGCGAGTCGACAAGTACCACTGGGTCAGCAAGTCCCGGTCCTAGAACCGGAGCAGAGCGCTGCATCACAGACTTTGTATTACTTTGGTTTAAAGAGACGATGATTTAAAAGTATTGCTGTTTAAGCATGTTTTTAAACTTTGAAATATTCCGCTATTTTAAACAAGTTTCCGCTGAATGTGTTTTTAAAGTAAAATTAAAGTGTAAATAAAGTAACGTTGAACTGTGATTGAAAAGAAATAAATGCGTCCGTTTCAGCTCTGCTCGTTGTCCTGTCAGTTACTCATGTTCATCTGCAAAAACAAAATACTGACATTTTCTGGTATTCAACAGAAAATTCAGTATAATAAATTTTAAAAATTGTAAAAAATGAACTCTTATTTTGTGGATTTTTTTTTGTGCTGTTTAGCTGAATTGCACATATCTGGTAAATCACAAAAGTATTTATATGTAAACTTAAAATCAAAAATCAGTGTTTTTGTAAATGCTCATTCAGTCTTTCACAAGGTGGCTGTAAAATTACATTTGCTGCATTTAAATCGGCAAAAAATAAAGATTTTCCTTGATATTAAAAAATGTTTTCCAGGTGTTCAGACCACAGACGACAGAACGTTCTAATGAGACGTTCCTACACTGTGATACATCAACACAGGTGGAACACTCTGCTTGCCATGTTCCGTGGACGTTTTGGGGATGTTGCTGAGGAACACATTATTGAACGTTCTCACAATGTTCCGTGATGCCAAGGGCAGAACGTTCTCAAGGCAACGTTCAAAACACTGAGCGACAGACCACCTCTTCATGGGTTCTTTCAGCAGGTCAACGTCGTCCGTCACACTGCACACATTACACAGCAACTGGTCGAGGAACATGACCAAGAGCTCACGGTGTCGCCTTGGTTCTCGATGGTCCGGACAAAAAAAACCATCAGATTCACAACGGACACGACTTCTAGGATCTGCTGCGGAGCCTCGGAGGCCTAAAGTCTCCAGAGTTGTCGTGGAGTCCGAACACGACAGAAACCTGATGAGCATGAGGTCGGTTGTGTTGACGTGGCGGCAGGTCGGCGTGTGGAGCTGTGATGTGAAAACCTGAAGGCTGCATCGTCCACACAAGGACAATCTGACATGATGCCAAACAGAAAACGATGTAATTTATGGCTGACTTTGACGATAATTAACTGACCATAACATTAATGATGGTTCATTTAAATTGGCTACGTTTTTAATAAAGTCATTGCATTGCGGAGAAACAACAATAAAAAAAAACTATTTCTCGTGTAGAACTGCATAAATGAGTTCAGAAAAGCGGAGGTCAGCAAAAACAACAAATACAATTCAATGGACAATAATTAGAGAACAAACAACAGGACACATCGTGCAGCCTCTTGATGGTTTGATATCTTCATATTTGTGTCAGATTTCTATATAACACACACATTGTATTGCAGGGTGGTGACTGGATGCTTTATCAGAACTTTAAGAAAGAAATATTAACGTTAATATATTTAAAAAACGAACCAACCACCATCACACCTTTAATGTTTACCCAGAATGCACTTTTATTAGATTTCTTTGTTGAATTATCAGAAAACTGAAACCACATCCAGGGTACCAGTTCATGTTTCCGTGACTCTTTGTCTTATTAGATATTAAACTTCTGCAGTTTTTGCTGTTGAAACGACGATACATCCCATAATACTGATGCTCAAGTTAAATAAACGGAACAAAAACAAGATTCTGGATTCAGATTGTGGCACCAGGAGAGGATGTAAAGTCGGCTTGGCTGCTGTTTTAATCAGAATTATTGTGTTTTTCATCCCTGGACAGCTCTTATAGCAAAGTCACGCTTCGAGGGTTAAAAAATACAGAAGAGTGAAATCTGGAGCCACCTGTGTTCACTTCACGGGGCTGCAGCTCTGAAAATATGTATAGCATGAAGGCAAAATCTTGCATGGCGTCCTTAAATATACAAACATTATTGTAAATACAGTTGCAGCTAAATCTGATGGGATCAGGTGGGAGCCTCTGATGGATGTGTGAAGGAACAACCAGAATGCGGCGGCGTGTCTGCGGCGCTGCGGGTATTGTTAGAAACTGCGCAAATCAAAAATCCGTTTCACTGCTTCAAACATCTGCTCGTAGACGCGTTAAAAAAAATAAAGACAACAACGGTTCGGATTAGTCGTTTTATTTATAGCGCTGAAAATAAATGTGGCGCCTCGTTTCGCACGTTTCAACACATTTACAACAGCGATCCAACAAGCAGCCAGAGAACCGGAAGGACAATTGGACGTTGGATTTGTCTTTTGTCGCAGCGTCCGCGCACTCAGCCAATCACAGAGCGCCTTTAACCGCGCCGCCGACCGCCTCGTCCAATCACAGACGCCCTCTTTGCGACGTCCCCCGTCGCTTGGTCACATCCGGTCGTATATATGTTGCCACGAGTTAGCGGCGAATTTGGAGAGTGTCCATTTTGAGCAGCGAGTCGGCGTCCCCGGTATTTTCACTCAAAGTAAGCACACTTGGATTCTGTTATGCGCGGATCGAAATGTAAACGCGGGAGTTCGGCTTTGAGCGGAGAAGCTCTTCGCTGCGCACTTCCTCCATTCTCCCGCTTTTGTCTGTGCGGCGGCTGCTTGCTAGCTGCGAGTGTAGCTAGCGGTCCTTTAGCCGCGGAGGTGCTAATGTTCGTTAGCGCGGTTATTACTCTGAATGGGTCGCTCGTTTGCACGTTTGAGCAGGAAAGCGGGCCTCCTGCATCGAGGGGACTTAATTAAGATATACCTGCTTGCACCTGCTGGGGTTTTCCAGCGTTCTTTATTCATGTGTAGCCGGGGTAGCTGCCTGCTAGCCGGGCCTGCACTCTTGCCCCGAGCGGTAACGGAGCAAAGCGCGGTTTGCTTGAACGCTCGGCTCACACGGACACTCACGCCGGTTTATTTCTTTCTGTTTGCAAACAGCATCTCCGTGTAGCTCCACACAGCAGCGTGCAGCCTCATCCCGTGCTGACTGTTACACCGTGTGATGCTTCGTGGCTAAATAGAAATACGACGTTTTAATGGGGTTTTAGCGTCCAGGTGGCCTAATTGTAGTCCCCTACTGACTGTTTTTATGCGAAGTAGTCCAAAGAAAAAGACCAATTACGAATATGTAAGGTCATTTTGATTTCTTAGCTGCTGGTGCATTTATTAAAATCCCATAATTCAAAGCTTGGTTGACAGTGAGCCTCTGTTGCAGGGCCCTGAGCTCACAGCAGCCCGCTGCTCATTGTGTGTGTTTTGCTTCATAGTTGGATTAATTTAGTATTTAGCGGGAAACCATTAGTAAAACCTGTTTTGTCTATTAACTAGCAACACTTTCTCTTTTAATATCCCTTCTTAAAACATCTGTACTTGTCAGCATTTAAACTGGAACAATCTGTACGGTGTCAGCAGCACTTCATGGAAGTCTTGTTTCGGTTTTTATTTTCTCACACGTTTGATCTGTTCCACTTTTCTGATGCAAAGCTGCAAATGTTCCCAATCTGGGATTAATAAAGCCTCATCTTATTTTGACATTATGAACTACAACATGTCAACCAGCCCGACAAGACAAGTTCTTGGATCTTGTGGTTAAGTGTAGTTTCAAAACTCATAACCATAAGTTGCATTAAAATAACCTTCCTGCACGTACACTAAAGTTTAGCGGAGCCTGTTGAAAGGTATGTTCTTTGTAGCGTAAAATAGGATTAAAAATACGGTGGTCAGTGTCTTAAAATGACCGGAAGCGGCGTTCTTGGGAGCAAGTCCTCCAACAAGTTAATCTGTTTGAATGTCTGAATCTTATCGCCGCTGCATCACATTCATTAACGTCCGGATTGCGCTAAACTTTGTCTTGTTCCCTTCCTCAGCCTCTTGGAAAAACGCATCGTCAGAATGGCAGACGCTGAGAATCTGCTCATGGAGACATCGGAGCAGAACGGCAACGAGGGCGAGGAGGACCAGAATGGAGCCGAGCAGGAGCTGATGGCGGGAGACGACGGTCAGGACAACGGCACGGACGGAGGCAAGATCGACGCCAGCAAAGGAGAGGAGGATGCTGGGTGAGTGTTCGGCTTGTCACGCTAGACATGCACGAGCAGCTTCTAACAGTCACAAAACGGATCAGCCAGAACCTTTTGGACGGACGACATAGATGTTGGTGACGCTAAATGAAAGAACAAAAATGTAAAAATTGTGCTGTACGCTTTAAAAGGTTATTAAATGAGAAGCGAGCCTTCTGTTCTGTATCCGCTATAACAAGCTCTGCAGAGACTAGTAGAAATAATATCAGAAATAGGATCAGATGGAGCTTTGATTGTTCCAAAAGTAGCTTACGTGCCAGAAAACAAAATTATTAAGAATTAAAAAAGTGTCGATGGGGAAAAATAAGGAAGAAAAATAGATGAATTCCTAAAAATGTGAAAAACTGATTCTGAAGAAGTAATGTTACGCTTAATACCGAAATATTAACGAAGAAATGGTGCAACTTAAATTGAAATATTGAACCTGAAAACATATGAATCTGAAATTGCACACGCTTTGAGAAGAGTAATGGTGCGAGTGACTCTGTTGTTGTTCTGTTTGCAGTAAAATGTTCGTGGGCGGCCTCAGCTGGGACACGAGTAAAAAGGACCTGAAGGATTACTTCAGTAAGTTCGGGGAAGTGTCAGACTGCACCATCAAGATGGACTCCAACACTGGCCGGTCCCGAGGCTTTGGCTTCGTCCTCTTCAAAGACGCCTGCAGCGTGGACAAAGTGAGTCACGTCTGATTTAACGGCCAGATGTTTCATGTGTAGTTTAATTAACGCGTCAGTTATTTCATGTTTACACTCAAGCCACAAACATCAGACTGAACCGGGTTCCTGAAGAGTGCTCGTGTTAGTCTGTTGTGATGCTCCCATGGCGATAGCAAGCTGTGTGCAAGTAGCGCTTCGTGTTCACGATGACATACGTGTCTGCAGGTGCTGGAGCAGAAGGAACACAGACTGGACGGGCGTCAGATTGACCCCAAGAGGGCGATGGCCATGAAGAAGGAGCCCGTCAAGAAGATCTTTGTCGGCGGTTTGAATCCCGAAGCAACTGAGGAAACCATCAGGGAATATTTTGGCGCCTTCGGAGAGGTCAGTTCAGCCTTAATTCACAAAGTGGAGCCAACAGAACACAGTAGAGCCCCCCCTCCTCCACCTCCTCCTGTCATCATTTACGCTGAACTGTTTTAACAGAATATGCACATATATTTGTGTAACACAGAATTTTGGAGGGAAGATGTTTCAGCCAGATCTAATGTCAGACCTGCCACACAACCATGTTGGGAAATCAGTTGGCTTCTGTGGAAAGCATCTGGTTTTTCCTCATATTTTGAAACCCAGCAGTGTGACGGTGTAATAATCCAAAATTTATAAAGGTTTGCAGTATTTGTGTGGCTTAAAGACTTAACAGAAGACACTCAGACTGGTTCCTTAGTGGTCCTACATGCAAAATGCATCCACTGAATGACAGTGTGTTCATTTCACACCTTCTCCCTCCAGATCGAAACCATTGAGCTCCCCATCGACCCCAAATCAAAGAAGAGGAGGGGTTTCATCTTCATCACGTACAAAGAGGAAGCCAGCGTCAAGAAGTGTCTGGAGAAGAAATACCACAACATCCAAGGCGGCAGGGTATGTACTCGGACTCACGGGGGATCTGTTTGTAGGTGCTGATCTTTTGGTCTGGTGGGTGGTTGTTTACAAGTTCAACCCGTCACAGCTGAGATCTTCACCAAGGATTTGGGGTTCTGTCGTTTATCTGAGGAGCACCGCTCAGCACGCTGTTTTTGTGTGCAGCCGCTCAGAAAAGTCTGCCGTCATTTTTATGTTCTGCTGCTTCAGTGTTTTCAGTTGAGAACATTTTCAGACTGCAGTGGTGTCTTTAGGAGGTCAGGGTTTAACGTGTGCGTGTCCTCCTCAGTGTGAGCTGAAGATCGCCCAGCCGAAGGAAGTTTACCAGCAGCAGCAGTACGGAGCGCAACGTGGAGGCGGCGGCTACGGGGGCCGGGGAGGCCGAGGCCGTGGAGGTACGTTATTAAGAGTCTGCAGCTTTTTTTCTTTTCATACGACTTTCTACATTTGAATCGGTAAAACTTGAGAGGCTGGAAACCCACAAAAAGTTTGCGCTTCGGTCTGAAATTACACGTTTGTCAGTTGGATGTACAAAAAAATCAATCCAGTGTTTTGTCTTTAATCAGCAATTAAGCCAGTTAATTAGCGCATTTCTAATCATTTGAGGAGCGTTTAAAAACCTGATCACTACACTGAGCTGTTGATGCCGCCACAGAACAGAAGATTTGTGTTCCTATTTGTGCATATGATTTAAAAAAACAAGAAAAAAAACCCCAAACGTTTGGCAGACTCCGTGAGCCGAGCGGTTCCGTACCGTAACTGAACTAAAGAAAACTAATTTTTGTGCATTCTGTGTCTCAGGTCAGAACCAGGGCTGGAACCAGGGATACGGAAACTACTGGAACCAGGGATACGGTAACCAAGGCTATGGCTACGGCGGCGCATACAGCGGCTATGGCAACTATGACTATTCTGGTTACTATGGATACGGCCCCGGCTATGATTACAGTAAGCACAAACAGACAGAACCAGAATGGACAGTTGTGTGTGTGGTGCTGGTACTGGGGAGGCTCAGGTCTCAGTGGATATGTACAATACAAGCGCAGTGGAAGATTGAATAATTTCACAACTGTGAAGCGTCGGACAAGAGTTTGAAGTGAAGCAGCTCTGAAGGAAACTAACTGCATGTTTAGTGTCATGCAGAATGTTTCACGGTGCAGCTATCTGTCACAGCACCACTGAACCACAGATCAAGATCAGCTTTATTGTCCCAGGCGTGGGAAATTAGTCTTGGGCTGTTCAGCCATGCTGCAGCCAACACAAGCAGGGACAACACATAAGATAGAATGCATAAATATACGCATACATCAAGTAAAAGCAGATTAAAATGAATATCAACAAACAGAAAACCAGATGCGCTATCAGATGCAGTTTTTAGCTTTAAGATTTTGTCTGCATGAAGAGAACTTGTACAAGCACAAGATGAGTGTTTGCACAGTGGCTGTAAAAGCAGGAAGTAGATACGACCTGCTGCGCGTTTATGCAAAGGTTTTCTAAGCAGAACAGAAAAGTAGACCGTCTCTATGGAAGACACATCGATGATTGTCTTCTAATCAAACAAGTGATGATAATTTAATCACTAAATATGTGAATCTACAAAAACGGACCAATCAAAGACCAATCAGACTGAAGCAGAGTGGATGTGACTCAGTAGGAATGACTTCGGTTTGATTGATGTCGTCTCAGGTAGACGATGGAACAGTTTGCTTTCTGAAGGTTTGTGACGATGGAGTTATCTGTTTTAAATGAACTCTTCACGTATTGACCGATGAGGCAGAACATGAAGAACGTGGATGTCGGGATGCTTTTGTATTTTAGCTGTAGCACCGAGCAGCGCCACCTTGGCTGTTGCATTGTGACTACTGTGACAAACACTGCTGTGGCCGTTAATTGGCCCGACGTCACACAAAACACTGAAAACATCTGTTGTACGTGACTCCCATCAATCAGTATTCAATTACATAATGTTGACTGTAAGTACAAAGTGTATAATCCAGGTTTTAGACTGTTTTGAACTTGATTGCTAAGCTAGGCTACTCAGATTCTGACCCAGTTTGGGTGTTTTGCTCACTTTATTGGTGAGTAAATGTCTCCAATAACGCCGACCTGTTGAATGAACTCTGTGAATTCTGATGGACGCCTGAATGGAACCGAGCCTGTTTCTGACCCGTCTCTGTCGTCCACAGACCAGGGCAACGCCAGCTATGGGAAAACCCCACGGCGGGGGGGACACCAGAGCAACTACAAGCCATACTGATGATCACCTGGCAGTACAAGGTACCCACCAGCTGCTGCCTCTCTTCTTGTTTCTCTCTCTTTCTTTTCTATTTACGCCGAGCACGTCGAAGTGTGATGGCCTCATTTACAGTGAAGCTGAAGAGGACGTGAAAATAAGAAATTCAGATAAGGATCAAATCTAAAAGTTCAAAGGTGTGAAGTGGATGAATCGGTGTGTTACTGTACGTTCATGTAGGAAAGCCGAAGTTTTTTTTCAACTGCGAATCCTTTGATTTCTGGGTTATTTTGTGAGTTTTAAGCCGGACACATGCTGCAGACGTCCCTGCTTGGGCTGAATCCTGTAGTGTATGCTCAGTCAGCATTTCAACCCCTAAGGCTGGTCCGGTGTAGTGACGAAGCAAAAAAGGAATTATACCTGAAAGACAGGGTTTGTGAAAAGGACGCGTCTCGAAGAAACCTCGTCTAATTATTATTTTATCACCTTTTAACTGTTTTCTTACTTTGACCTCATTGGTTGCTGCAAAGATGA